CCACATAGTCAAAACAATCCTAAGCAAAAAGAACAAAGCTGGAAGCATCACACTGCCTGACTTCAAACTATACTACAAGGCTACAGTAATCAAAACAGCATGGTACTGGCACCAAAACAGAGGCATAGGTCAATGGAACAGAACAGAGGCCTCAGAAGCAACCCCACACATCTACAATCATCTGATCTTTGACAAACCTGACAAAAAGAAGCAATGGGGAAAGGATTCCCTGATTAATAAGTGGAGTTGGAAAAACTGGCCAGCCATGTGCAGAAAACAGAAACTGGACACCTTCCTGACCCCTTACACTAAAATTAACTCCAGATGGATCAAACATCTAAACATAAGACCTAACACCATAAAAATCCTAGAAGAAATCCTAGGCAAAACCATTCAGGACATAGGCATAGGCAAGGACTTCATGGCTAAAACACCAAAAGCAATGGCAACAAAAGCCAAAATAGACAAATGGGATCTAATTAAACTCCCGAGCTTCTATACACCAAAAGAAACAATCATTAGAGCGAACCAGCAACCAACAGAATGGGAAAAAGTTTCTGCAATCTACCCGTCTGACAAAGGGCTAATATCCAGAATCTACAAAGGACTAAAACAGATTTACAAGAAAAAAAAACCCGTTCAAAAGTGGGTGAAGGATATGAACAGATACTTCACAAAAGAAGACATCTATGAGGCCAACAAACGTATGAAAAAATGCTCACCATCACTGGGCATTAGAGAAATGCAATTCGAAACCACATTGAGATACCATCTTACGCCAGTTAGAATGGCGATCATTAAAAAACCAGGAGACAACAGATGCTGGAGAGGATGTGGAGAAATAGGAACACTTTTACGCTATTGGTGGGAGTGTAAATTAGTTCAACCATTGTGGAAGACAGTGTGGCAATTCCTCAAGGACCTAGAAATAGAAATACTATTTGATCCAGCAATCCCATTGCTGGCTATATACCCAAAGAATTATAAATTGTTCTATTATAAAGTCACATGCACATGTATGTTCACTGTGGCACTGTTTACAATAACAAAGACTTGGAACCAACCCAAATGTCTATCAACGATAGACTGGACAAAGAAAATGTGGCACATATGCACCAGGAATACTACACAGCCATAAAAAACGATGAGTTCATGTCTTTTATAGGGACATGGATGAATCTGGAAACCATCATTCTTAGCAAACTGACACAAGAACAGAAAACCAAACCTATGAGTTCTCACTTATAGGTGGATGTTGAACAATGAGAACACGTGGACACAGGGAGGGGAGCATCACACACTGCGGTCAGTTGGGGGTGGTTAGGGGAGGGACAGTGGGGGGTGGGAAGGGTGGGAAGGATAATATAGGGAGAAATATGAAATATAGGTGATAGGAAGATGAAGGCAGCAAATCCTCATGTATGTACCTATGCAACAATCCTGCATGATCTGCACATGCACCCCAGAACCTAAAGTACAATAAAAAAAAAAAAAAGAAGATCCAAGGTCGGTTGAATCTGAATTTAAAACACCCATCTTCAAAATACATTTCGATTGTAAAGAAAATGGAAAACACTTTGCCAAATGAAATATATATATTTATTTATTTATTACAAACATGAACGTTGTAAAAGTTGAAAATACAGAAAAAGTCATACTCATCATATTACATATTTCTAAGACATTCACACAAGCACAGAAAACATTTTGGCATTTGTGACATGTGTTTTGTGGGTAATGTTATACATGGATGGGTTTTATTTTACAACTCAATGTTCATTTGGCCAGACCAATTGCCTTCAGTTCTGGCACTTGCCTGAGGATGGTACTTAAAATGTACTTGTTAAAGGAGTTAAATAAATACTTCATTTAAATTACGTATTTTTGTAGGTATTTGTCATATGAGATTGTATATTTTCTGTACAGTTGAAAGTATTCTTACATATGACTTTAATAGGGTATAGTATGCCATGTAGCTACATCTCTGTGGCTTACCTGAGCTTCCAATATTACCCCACATTTAGGGTATTCTCATTTCTCATTATAGGTACTCTGTCATGAAATATTTCTATGCATAAAGTGGCACACTTGACCTGTTGGGGCTGGACTACCCTCAGTGAAATTACTGACTGAAAAAACAACATCCTATTCAAAGCAAGCGTATTTCTGTACAAATTACCGAGGACTTTCACAGTGTAATTTCTCAATACTAAAGAAAGGAATTGTTCATTATACCATATCTAAAGTGTCAACATTTAATTGATTTCCCAATTAGACTGAGGTAATCACATCTCAATCCATTTTAACTTCTTTAATTCATAGCGAAGTTAACCCATTGTATTGCTTTTCGATGAATGTTTTTCCTATCTAGGGGTCTGGGGAAAATTAAGAGTAAAAGACTAAGTGTGAGCAAATGAAGAGAGCTAGGGGTCATCATACCCATTTCTCTTTTTGCACAGTATGGCTGAAATATTAAGAATTATTTTTCCCAAAGTCACTCAGGCAACAAGACGTAAAGTCAATTGGAAACATCAGTAGAGTGCTCGTTTCCTAAGTTTACTGAGGAATGAGACTTTATCGAAGTGTCTAATCTTGCTTTCCTTATACTTCCCAATTTTCTTCAGAAAATTCAAATTAGTCAGCACTAATCATGGGCAGCCTTCCCCAGATATTTGGTTGTCCTTAAGCTGGATACATTTTTTCCCCTGCCCCAGTGGGGAAATTACACTAGTATATAATTCACCAATAAAAACTGTACAGAGTTAAGGAGTACAACTGGATGTTTTAATTATCTATTCATTGTGAAATAATTACAACAGTCAAACTACTTAACACATTCATCACCTCACATAAATAAATACCTTTTATTTTGAGGTGAGAACACTTGAGATGTATCCACTTAGCAAATTTCAAGTAAATGCTACACTTTTGTTAACTATGGTCATGCAGCATTACATGAGCTCCACAGAACACAGTCATCTTGTATCACTCAAAATTTGTACACATTGACCAACATCTCCCTATTGTTCCCTCTCCAAGCTCTTGGAAACTGCTATTCTACTTTCTGCTTCTAATAGTTTGATCATCTTAGATACCTCACAAAAATGTGATCACGAGCTATGTTCTTCCTTGACAGGCTTCTTTCACTTAGCGTAATGTCTTGTAGGTCATCCACGCTATTGCACATGCCAGCTCTTCTGCTATTGAAGGCTGACTAATACTCCACTGTATGTATCTAAAAGATTTTCTTTATCCATTCACCTACCTATGTTTCTATATTTCACTTATTGTGAATGATGCTGCAATAAACTTGGGAATGCAGATATCTTTAGGATATTTGTTTCCATTCCTTTGGATGTATAACCAGTTGGGGGATTGCTGGATGTTATAATAATTGTATTTTAAAATTTTTGAGGAACCTCCATGCTATTTTCCATAATAGCTATATTAATTTACATTCCTACTAATAGTTTGCAAAGATCTCTTCTTTTCACCTCTCCACCAACACTTGCTGTCTTTCATCTTTCCGGTAACAGCCTTCTAACAGGTGTGAAGTAATAGTTCTATGTGGATTTGATTTGCATTTCCCTGACAAACACTGATGTTGAACATCTTTTCATATACCAGTGGGCATTTTCATATACTGATTGGCTTTTGTTTATCTGGAAAAGTCTTTATTTCTCCTTCATGTTAACGTATAATTTCATTGGATATACTATTCTAGGGTGAAAGGTTTTCTCCATCAGCCATTAAAGACATCAGGCCACTCTCTCCTGCCCTGTAATGTTTCCACTAAATGTCTGCTTCCAGGCATACTGGAGCTCCTTTGTATGTTATTTTTATTTTGCTGCATTTAGGGTCCTGTCTTTATCCTTGATCATTGACAGTTTGATTACTAAATGTTTTACATTAGTCTTCTTTGGGTTAAATTTGCTTGATGTTGAATAATCTTCTTATACTTTTTTCATATCTTTCTCTAGGTTTGGCAAGTTCTCTGTTAGTGAACTTTCTACCCTGATTTCTATCTCTCAACCTTCTTTTCAACGGTCATAGATTTTCCCTCTTTAGGATATTTTCTAGATCTCGAAGGTGTGATTCAGTCTATTTCATTCTTCTTTCTTTTGTCTACTCTCACTGTGCATTCTGTCTTCATTCTCACAAGTTATTTCTTCTGCTTGATCAATTCTCCTGTTCAGGGCTCTGATGCATTCTTCAGTATTCCCATTACATTTTCCAGCTCCAGCATTTCTGCTTGATTCTTTTTAATTATTTCAATCTGTTTGTCAAATTTATCTGATGGGATATCAAGTGCATAATTTCATAGAGCCAACAAGATAACAGTCTATATTTTTCACATTCACAGGTGAAGTGGATTTTGCAATTACCAGTTGCGTTAAATGCAACAAATAAAGTTCCTAAAATTGATGCTCTAAGGTGCCACCTTAAGTTTTCCAGGCTGCAACTGTGCATTATTTTAAAATGGTTTTCTTAAAATGTGGCACATATATACCATGAAACAGCATGCAGCCATTAAAAAGGATGAGTTCATGTCCTTTGCAGGGACATGGATGAAGCTGGAACCCATCATTCTTAGCCAACTAATACAAGAACAGAAATCCAAACACCACATGTTCTCATTCATAAGTGGGAGCTGAATAATGAAAACACGTGAACACAGAGAGGGGAACATCATACACCGTGGCCTCTCAGCGGGTGAGGCGTTAGGGGAGGGATAGCATTAGCAGAAATACCAAATGTAGATGACAGGGTGATGGATGCAGCAAACCACCATGGCACAGGTATAATTATGTTACAAACCAGCAAATTCTGCACATGTACCACAGAACTCAAAGTATAATAATAATAATGAAATTAAAAATAAATAGAAGAAAAATTGATATCAAAAAATAATAAATAAATTAAATGCTTTTCCTAAATTTATTTATTTTTTTAAACATAGCAAAAGGAAGGCGTTTAGACTGGTGTAATAGCTCAATAGATTAAGCACTCCAGATTTCGGGAAGGATGAGGAGGGAGATATTCAGAGCCCTCCACCAGATTCCCCCCAACTCGATCTGAGCAGATTTATGATATGCTTTGTGGATGTGGGTAGTCAATGTTACCAGCTTGACAGATCTGTCTGCACGAAACCCCATTTAGTTATCCGGTCCCCTTGACTGATGCAGAACCATTAGGTGAGGAACACTGGCATCATCCAGGGTGATGTTCTTTGAGTGATTGACCCACTAGTCAGGTCGAAAAGCTGCCACAGCCTTGGGGCCCTCACAGACTCACCAAACATTACAGGCGCTGCACTTGCCAGTGCACTGAGTAAGAATCACTGAGAACTCCACCTCATCTCCTGCCTGTAGCCCAATGCCATCCTGAGCTTCCTTCACATGGAAAAAGAGCTTCTTGCTATCTCCTACTTCATAGTGAATGAAGCCAAACTGATCTTTCACACATTCCACTGTGGCCCTATGCAGGGGTGTGATGTTGGAAGCCATGGTTTGTGCATTTTGGCCAGGGACACACAATTGGAACTTGACGCTCTCCCCTTTCTGCATGCCATCCCCTTTGTGGGCCATCCCAATGATGCCAAATGGATAGGCCTCACCTTCCATATCCCCCTCCTCCACAATCTCAGTCATTGCTTGTACTCAGTCTGTCTTGCATCAACACTCCTCAGCAGGCAAATGACTTTGCCAGAGGAAATGGTGGAATCAGCTTCTTCAGTGATGCCATTCACTGAGTGTGTTTTGTTCACTTTTTCTGCACTGACTTTGTTGCCTTTGCCTTTGGACAAGCTATACTCGACCATGTTCCCCAGTCTCAGGCTAACAACATCACCAGAGAACTCACTGGAATGGAAAAAGATTTCCTCATCATGATTGGCTGTTTCAACAAATCCAAAATTATTCTTCAGAGTTGCTACATAGCCCGGGAGCCTCTTCGAGTTAGAATTAAGACCTAAAAGTCACACACAGGTTGCAACCTGCTGTCCAGGCCTCTGTTTGTCACTAATAGTAAATTCAAGCTTATCTCCCGTTTGAGGAGAAGCAGATCCTTCCACATCCTTGGCTTGAAAAGCAATAGTCGGTTTCATCCCAGACTCATCATAAGCAATAATGCCACCCTCCGCCTCCTTCTCTTTGCCTTTATTTAGGGTAGTGGTTTTAGGGTTGGGAAAACTGACTTCTTTTTCTACCATGCCCAAACGGTGGTCTGAATGGGAATAAAATGAAACTGTGGCCTTGGCAAGGCTTTTAATCCTAATCTCATGATTTGTTTGCGCAGAGAGCTTAAAAGGAACCACAGTAAACTCCACTTCATCTGCAACATGGAGCTGGTTGCCATCCAGAATTTCACTGAAGTAGAAGAACATATGAGCACGATCCACACACTTGAGCCATCTCTCATGGCAGCAATCACACCCCTGTCTCAGGCCTCATCAGTGACTGAAATGTATTTAACAGAACTTCTATATTGCTTGCTTGTTCTAATTTGTCACGTCGGTCTGTTGAAATATTGAACCTAACATGGTCACCTTCCAGCAGGGTCACCTTGGATTTTGTATCTTTGTCTCCAACGAGAGACACACTTCTTCGGCAACAGAGTTTCAATAATGATTTATATTAAGGAAAAGAAATCCTACAATTATTGAGCAATCAGAATGTGACTACTTTGAATTGACACATTTCATTAATTTTTTAAAGAGATTATAAAGTCTTACTATGAATAATCGATACCTATAAACAATATCACATCCTATAAATAATTTCACATTGATTACATGTTCAAGTAATTATTAGGGGAGTTGAATGAACATATTGCATGTAATTAAAAGTAGTTTTTCTGCTTGGTTTTTGCTCCTTTTTAATGCAGCTATTGAAATACTTAAAATTGCATCTAGACTTTGCATTATATTTCTGTTAAATTGCACTGCTGTAAGCAACTTTTTAAATTCATTCAACAAATGTATTTGTCCATCTGACATATTCCAGGCAGTATTTTAGGGGTTGGATGTACATTATTGACCTATACTTACAAAACATGATAATTAGAGAGATATATAGAATATTCATGGTATAGAAAAAATGTATGTATAGATGATAAGAGCTAGAAAGAATAGTGCAGACTGAGAGTTTCGAAGTACTTGGAGATTCACACCTTTACATAGAATAGAACTCACTGGTAGGTGTCTCATGTCTGCATAAAACCACACATAATGACACCCAAACCTTATCAGAGTTATTCTGACATATTTCATTTATGGCCTCTGTATATCCTCCTGTCCAGCAGAGCTTCATCTGTTTGACCAAGGCAATTGGAAATTTTTCTTTTGAAAATATTTCAGATCCAATTCAGGGTTCATCATTAAGCATGATCTCCTTCAAAAGTCTTTGGTAACATTTTGCCCTTCAGTTTTTTTCTTTACCAGTTTTAAAGTACAACAAAAATAGTAAAAATACAGAATATAAACAACTCCTGGGTCTTTACAGTGAACACCACCATGTAAACCCGTATCCAGATCAAGAAACAGAACATCTCAACAGCCGCTGGAAGTCCCCAGGATGTCCCCCTCAGTCACTCTACCGTAAGGGTATCCACTAACTTTAAGAAAAACACCATCTACTGCAATCATTTTTAGCATAAAATCTTCTCAATAATTTTACAAAATCTTGGTTGTGCTCTATCTGAGACATCGCAAGTATAGTCATCTCATGATTCATGTCCTATTCTGCTTCTATGGAGCACATCTGCAGATCTCCCCGACCAGGGCTCCCCTTGCTTTCCTTTGCATCTGGTCGGCTCATAAGATATAAGACCCAAAGTCAGTAGAATCTGAATTTAAAACACCTGTCTTCAAAATGCATTGTGATAGGAACAATCCCATCAAAAAGTGAGCTAAGGACATGAATAGACAATTCTCAAAAATAATGGACAACAAACATATGAAAAAAAATGCTCAAAATCACTTATCAGGGAAATGCAAATCAAAATCACAATGGATCCCATCTCACTTTTGTAAGGACGGTCATAATCAAGGAATCAAAAACTAATGAATACGGAGGTGGTAAAAAGGCAACACACTTACAAAGTTGATGGGAATGTAAACTAGTACAAACAACCACTACGGAAAACAATGTGAAGAGTCCTTAAAGAACTGACAGTAGATCTACCATTTTATCCAGCAATTCCACTCCTGAGTATCTACCCAGAGGAAACAAAGTCATTCTACGAACAAGATACCTGCACATGCATGTCTATGGCAGCACAGTTCACAATTTCAAAACTATGGAACCAGCTCAAATTTCCATCAATCAATGAGTGGATAGAGAAAATGTGGCATATGTAAATATCCTGGAATTCTACTTGTCCATAAAAGAGATGGAAATAATGGCACTCACAGCAATCTGGACAGAATTGGAGACCATTATTCTAACTGAAATAACTCAGGAAAGGAAAACCAAACATCGTTATGTTCTCATTCACCAGTGGGAGCTAAGCCATGAGGACGCAAACGAGGGACGTTAGGGACTCAGGGGAAAGGGTGGTAGGGGGAGTGGGCTAACAGACTACACATTGGGCACAGTGTACACTGCTCAAGTGATGGGTGCACCAGAATCTCAGAGATCACCACGTAAGAACGAATACATATCACCAAACACCACATCTTCCCCAAAACTTATTGAACTTAAAAAAAGAAAGCTACATGCCGGGCGCGGTGGCTCAAGCCTGTAATCCCAGCACTTTGGGAGGCCGAGGCGGGTGGATCACGAGGTCAAGAAATCGAGACCATCCTGGTCAACATGGTGAAACCCCGTCTCTACTAAAAAAAATACAAAAAATTAGCTGGGCATGGTGGCGCGTGCCTGTAATCCCAGCTACTCAGGAGGCTGAGGCAGGAGAATTGCCTGAACCCAGGAGGCGGAGGTTGCGGTGAGCCGAGATCGCGCCATTGCACTCCAGCCTGGGTAACAAGAGCGAAACTCCATCTCAAAAAAAAAAAAAGAAAGCTACATATTGCACTGTCTCTGTAAGAATACAAAAGAAAATCATAAAAAAGGAAACATTTTACCAAACTAATTATAATTTTATTTATGAAGAATTTGAACATCTTAAAAATTAAAAATACAGAAAAACTGCTTCTCATCATAATATATATTTCTTGACTGACATGGTGTCTTTTGAGGTGACATGGATGCAGCTGGTGTCCATTGTTCCCAGTGACTTAATATAGGAACAGAAAACCAAATGCACAAGTTCTTATTTATAAGTGGGAATGGAACATTGTTTACTTACGGACACAAAGATGGCAATAATAGACACTAGCAATGGAATAAAGAGGGAGGGGAGAGAGAGTTGAAAAACTCACTATTGGATACTATCCTTACTATCTGGGGGATGGTATCATTTGCATCCCAAACCTCAGCATTTCACAATATGCCCATGTAACCAAACTGCACGTGTGCCCCCTGAATCTAAAAGTTGAAATTATAAAAATAAACATTCACGCATGTTTAACCCCAAGCAAAAGGGAGTCATATATTAATTTTAGAAGTACCAATAAACCACGTGTGTTATAATATCCTGATTCATCCTTGTGAGGGTTCAGATACAATAAACTCAATGCCCTGCATAATGCGTGTGCCTTCTACAAAAGGAAGGAAGTTAAAACACATCATAAAAGCAGGCAGCACTATAGACTCCAATGAAAAAGACAATGTGTGCTCTCGGGTCCTGCTCAGAAGTCACATTATATCAAGGACTGTGGGAATTTCCACCAACTGAGTGAAAAGTAACTTTTAATGACTTCCAAGATACTAAAGTTTACTTTCTGATGAAGTTCAGCTTGGGAAAACATACATCCTCAAAAGCTGACTTTGCACTCCTGGTTAATAAACATAATAATTTATCAGGAATCCCATTTGCTTCTGGGAGGGTGATTTCTTGCGCTGTGGGTGCATCAAAGTGATGGACAGTAAACAAGGTCACTGAGGAAGCAGGTGACAAGGTGATCCATGTCCACTGGGAGGAGAACTCCTGCCATCTCTCCCTGATATACACTTACTGTGTGTCCGACCCAGCCTTTCCAAGATGCCTCACTGTCGTGGGGGTGCTGGCTGCCTTTAGTTAGGATTCTGCAACCCCTCAGCCTCGGCAAGGAGAGGGAGGTATGAAGAGCTTTCCAACATTCTCAATCTCCATTCTGTGCTTCAGTTTTTTCTTTAAGATGCATGTTTCTAACTTCATTTCTGTTATAATGTGCCTCTATTTTTCATTCCTCTGTGTATTCACAGGTATTCTTTTTTGTTTCATCTGCTTTCACTTTCTCGTCTTCCATTTCTATCTTATTTAGTACCTCTTATGGATCTATTGGTGGATGAAGTGTATCCATTGAAGCGCTTGCATATTTTCTCCTTTAATCTACTATTGTGGCTAATCATACAGATAAGTTTGTAATGCTCAACTTACCTTACATTTTAAAATAATCCCTGACTCATTGTTTAAATATTTTTATATAGGATGCAGTTTACTTTCTCACTCATTTTCTTTGGACTGCTTTTTACTTGGTTTATGAAATAGTCTTGACAACTTACTTTTCACACAATCTTTATTATGTTTTGCCATCAAGTTTGTGCTATCCTTGCGATGTGACTAACAGAACATTCTTTTCTCTATCCATAGAAATAATTTGCACATATATTTTCTATCTGGTATATTTGGCATACTTCACCCCTGAAGCATTCTCTGATATTCCTTATTGGTATAATTTTTGCCACTATCCAGCTTCCCCTGGGAAGCCTGCACCTTTATGACTTTCTTCAGCTGTATATCCTTTATGGTAAGGTAAGTCTTCTAGGAACTTCCTAATATCTCCCAAATTTCCAAATTTATGGGCACAGTTTATTTTTGTAAAAATGTTCATAGGTTTTTTTAGAGGTTTGTTGATTTCGTACTTCTTAGGAAGAAGCTGATTGTTGACATTTTTTCCCTTTAGGTAGTTTGAGGTTATTCTGCCTTTACCTCTATCAATCCCCTCTCTTGTTTCAGCATTTCGTTGGTATCCCTTTTCAAACGTCATTGTTATCTTCAAAGGTTCTTATCTAGTCTTCACTTGATTTCCATAATGCACATTCCATACTGCATTTTCCTTATAGGGATTTTTTATTCACTTTGTGGTTACTAGGAATTGCTACAGTATTAAAAATATTGAGAAATCGGGCTTTTGTTCTTTTTCTTTTATTTGTATTTTAATATAATTGTGTTTAGATGATTGTTCTGTTACATTAAACTTTTGAAATTTTTTGACACTTGCTTTAGTGTTTGTTGTTTACGCCTACATGTGGTCCACATGTCCCTGAGAAGGAAAGGTGGGTATTTCACAGTCCTCTAGTGTTGTTGACTTTTATAGCAGTAGGTAAAGAGGATGAAATAATGTGATCACATTTTTAATATCACAACTCACATTTCTTTTTCTCCACTGGTTCTGTTAATTTCTAAGAGACTTTGGTTAAAATCTTCCCCATCAGTGGCTGATTTTCTCATTTCTTCTTATAATTGGCTGTTCTCACTTACACATTTTGATGCTATGTGCATTTATATACACAAAACCTTTTATTGCTATTGAAATGGCCTTGTTCATATCCAGTAATTCTGTTGTCTTAACGTTTGCTTTATGTAATTGGACGTGCACTAGATTTCTGTTCATTAGATTTTATAGAGTTTCATCTTCTTTATATTATATTGAACCATTCTGTGTCTTCTTTTAAAATGTGAATAAAGACACATACTTGCCTTGTCATCTGCTTTTTCAGATAGACATGTGGACGCTCCAGCTTCCTTTTGATAAACATTTTCAGAGCATATCTTCTTACATCCTATTACTTTTGACCTATGTGTTTTCTTTTTTTTTTTTATTGCATTTTAGGTTTTGGGGTACATGTGAAGAACATGCAAGATTGTTGCATAGGTACACACATGGCAGTGTGATTTGCTGCCTTCCTCCCCATCATCTATATCTGGCATTTCTCCCCATGCTATCTCTCCCCAACTCCCCACCCCCTACTGTCCCTCCCCTATTTCCCCCCCAACAGACCCCAGTGTGTGATGCCCCCCTCCCTGTGTCCACGTGTTCTCATTGTTCAACACCCACCTATGAGTGAGAACATGCAATGTTTGATTTTCTGTTCTTGTGTCAGTTTGCTGAGAATGATGGTTTCCAGGTTCATCCATGTCCCTGCAAAGACACGAACTCATCATTTTTGATGGCGTTTTCTGTACTTACAATAGGAATCTGTAAGACGGTGCATACCTGTGTTAAGATCTCTTTCAGTCCATTATTTGCTGCCATTGCTTAGTGTGTTTAGTCTATTTTCTTTATAAATGTTTTTCTCAGCTTTATTGAGGTGTTAATGATACACGGAACATTATATTTTAAGTGGAAAACATATGACTTGATAAACTGATATATCATAAAATGATTACCATGATCATTCTAATTAACAGATGCATCATCTCACATAGTTACCTGTGGGGTAGCGGGGATGCAAGAGCACTTAAGACCTCCTTTGTTAGCAAATTTAAAATATACAGCACAGTATTACTAACTAAGGTGACAATATATTACCTGAGATATCCAGAACTAATTCATCTTACAACTGAAGATTTGTATGCTTTGACTAACATCTCCACATTTTTCCCATACCTCAGCTCTGGGCAAGCATCTTTCTACTCTGTTGCTCTGAGGTAGGCATTTCTAGATTCCACAAATAAGTGAGATCAGAGATTATTTGCCTTTCCCTGCCTGACTGTTTTGACTTAATATAATGTGCCCCACATTCATCTGTGTTGTCACAAATGGCAGAATTTTTTGGTGTCCTAAGAATATATAATAACATATATGTGTGTGTGTTTAATATTTGTATGTGTTTAATATATATATTATATTGTGTGTTCATGATATTATATGGTGTGTGTAATAGAATACACATGTAAAATATAAAAGATGTATGATATATGTATATTATAGATGTATATAATTATATATTATATAATTATACATATATTACACACATATGTGACATTATATATTCTTTGTGTATATATTGTATATATTGAACAAACATGTAGAGAGTTCTTACTGAACTATACAAAAAGTGAGCTTGTAGACGAACTGTCACAACACCTATTAAACATAAATTGCATTTCAAAAACAATTGTATGGTAAACAATTGTCAATTATAATCAAGTATCAAAATTGCAAACAATTCAAATTAATAAAACCTAAATTAAAAACTTGCTAAAAGACATAAAATCAGTAGATGGAAGAATAAGGGTCTCATATTTTAGGTATTCAATACGTGCTTTGGATTTTCGTCCTCTCATTAGATGAAGAGCATATCATTGCTGTGGTAGAGTTGGATGGCAGAGTAGAGAATGGTGTTCAATGGAAAGAAGATAACCACAGAGAGAAGACAACTTGGTAAATTCAGGATGCTCTTACAGACTTTGTCAGTATAAAGAAAGAAATGTGCAGATATTGCTAGATTTGTAGTTAGAAAAGAAGGATAGTTTGAGATGATGGAAACATCTAGATGAGTGGGAGAATGAGTTGCTGAGAGGATGATGCAGTATACAACTCTATACTCCAATAAGCATAGAAGCAGTGATAACCTTATGAATTTCAATGTCAGCTTTAATGAATGTCATGTCATTCCCATTCTACTTGTATATTTTGAATCTACTGATTTTGTCTCTACAACAAGCATCCAAGAACATTCAGACAAAAATGTGGATTTTACACATTGTATTTAGTAAGATACATATAATATTTCAGATGGAGTGAGTGCCACCTGAGTCCAATTATTTTGTATTGTGTGATTGTCATACGTTTGCGGGATACTTAGCAGCATCCCTGGCCTCTACCCACTGCATATTAGTTTCTCTTCAGCAAATCAACAAAACTTCACATCTGTGAACACTACCAGTGGATCCCTGTAGAAGGCTGGGGAGAGGCAGAAAGGCTTTACCTGGAAAACTGTGTTTTGGATGAGTGTTTAAAATGATCACTGTCAGATGCCCTCTCTCACCACTCTTATTCAATATGTTATTGGAAGTTCTAGCCAGAGCAATTAGGCAAGAAAAAGAAATAAAGGGCATTCAATTAGGAAAAGGAGAAGTCAAATTGTCCCTATTTACAGATGACATGATTGTATATTTAGAAGACTCCATTGTCTCAGCCCAAAACCTCCTTAAGTTGATAAGCAACTTCAGCAAAGTCTCAGGATACAAAATCAATGTGCAGAAATCACAAGCATTCCTATACACAGACAAACAGAGAGCCAAATCATGAGCGAACTCCCATCTACAATTGCTACAAAAAGAATAAAATACCTAGGAATGCAACTAGCAAGGAACGTAAAGGACCTCTTCAAGGAGAACTACAAAACACCGATCAAGGAAATAAGAGAGGACACAAACAGATGGAAAAACATCCCACGCTCATAGTTAAGAAGAATTAATATTCTTCTTAAATGGCCATACTGCCCAAAGTAATTTACAGATTCAATGCTATCCCCATCAAGCTACCAGTGACCTTCTTCACAAAACTGAGAAAAATCACTTTAAACTTCATATGGAAGCAAAAGAGAGCCTGCATAGCCAAGACAATCCTAAGCAAAAAGAACAAAGCTGGAGGCATCACGCTACCTGACTTCAAACTATACTACAAGGCTACAGTAATCAAAACAGCATGGTACTGGTACCAAAACAGAGATAGAGACTAATGGAACAAGACAGAGGCCTCGGAAGCAACACCACACATCTACAACCATCTGATCTTTGATAAACTGGATAAAAACAAGCAATGGGGAAAGGATTCCCTGTTTAATAAATGATGTTGGGAAAACTGGCTAGCCATATGCAGGAAGCTAAAACTAGACCCCTTCCTTACACCTTATACAAAAATTAACTCCAGATGGATTAAAGATTTAAACATAAAAACTAACACCATAAAAACCCTAGAAGAAAACATAGGCAAAACCATTCAGGACATAGGCACAGGCAAGGACTTCATGACTAAAACACCAAAAGCAATGGCAACAAAAGCCAAAGTAGACAAACGGGACCTAATTAAACTTAAGAGGTTCTGCAGAGCAAAAGAAACAATCAGTAGAGTAAACCAGCAACCGACAGAATGGGAAAAAATTTTCACAATCTACCCATCAGACAAAGGACTAATATCCAGAATCTACAAAGAACTAAAGCAGATTTACAGGAAAAAACAAACAAACCCATTCAAAAGTGGGTGAAGGATATGAACAGACACTTTTCAAAAGAAGACAAATATGCGGCCAACAAACATAGGAAAAAATGCTCGCCATCACTGGTCATCAGAGAAATGCAAATCAAAACTACATTGAGATACCATCTCACACCAATTAGAATGGCGATCATTAAAAAATCTGGAGACAACAGATGCTGGAGAGGATGTGGAGAAAAAGGAACACTTTTACACTGTTGGTGGGAGTGTAAATTAGTTCAACCATCGTGGAAGACAGTGTGGCAATTCCTCAAGGATCTAGAAATAGAAATGCCATTTGACCCAGCAATGCCATTACTGGATATATACCCAAAGGATTAAAAATCATTCTATCATAAAGACACATAAACATGTATGTTCATTGTGGCACTGTTTACGATAGCAAAGACTTGGAACCAACCCAAATGCCCATCAATGATAGACTGGAAAAAAAAAAAATGTGCACATCTACACTGTAAAATACTATGCAGCCATAAAAAACAATGAGTTTGTGTCCTTTGTAGAGACACGATCTCTACAAGGAGAACTACAAACCACTGATGGATGAACCTAGAAACCATCATTCTCGGCAAACTGACACAGAACAGAAAACCAAACACCACATGTTTTCACTCATAGGCGGATGAGGAACAATGAGAACACGAGCACAGGGAAGGGAACAACACTCACAGGGCTAGGTGGGGGGAGGGAGGAGAGGGGAGGGGAGACAGCGGGGGAGGCCGGGAGGATGGGGAGGGATAACACCAGGAGAAACGCCTGAC